TTTAATTAAAAATAGCCATGAATACTTTTCGAATGGCAAGTTTCCATAGGAGTGTTAATAAATCAATAAAATTTCATAAAAAATATGCCTCATCTGGTTATCAGATGGGTGAAGGTCGACCTCCCACGGTCTCTTAGACTATTACGGGGAAACATTTTCTTCTGCGGAAAGGTGGCAAATTATATCGATTGTTCCATTAAAAAAAAAAAAAAAAAATACGCAGATATTTGATATATGTTAAAAATTTAGATATTGTGAACTTTCTGTTGGAACAAACCTAATAAAAATCGGAACGGCACAACCTATAAAAATTAGTGATGGGTCGCTTGGAAAAGTCCACGGACAAGTCTGAAAAGTTGACTAGTCCAAACACACTTTTCGAAAGTGGAAAAGTGTATTGCGCATGCGCATAATTAAATTAACTAATTCGTCTGAATTGCTTACAAATAAAGGCAAAATATAATATAAAAAAGAAGAAACGACCAATATTTACTGACTTTTATAATGTTTTAACGATGTTTTCGAATTTTCGTGTCATATCTTATTAAAATAAACTCGTGAAAAATTACCAAAAGATCCAAAGGTTGGAAGTATTTTACAAATGATTTGCCTAAAAAAACGAAAATGCAAATGCATATATTATTCCCAAAATGTTTTTGAAAAAACATTCAGGATCGAGATTTAATTGCGTGTCTTCTATGCTCAAGGTCGACTACTTTTCATTGTGACTTTTCATTACTTTTCCGGACATGTCCGTCGGAATAGTCCAAAAATTACTTTTCATGAAAAGTCCCATCTCTAATAAAAATACAATGAGTGTTTTTGAGAAACTTACCTTGTGAACCTGTTTTTATGTATATTCGTTTTTCTTCTTTTTTACACTTTCTTATTACAAATGGCAGTTAATGGGCCATATTGTAACACATTAGTCGAACTCCAATCGCACTCGATTTAAATCCAACGGATTATTTAGTAAATAAAATACATCATTTCAAACAGATAGTTTATTCATATCTCCAACGTGATTTAATACAAAATTATTAATTACTGATATGGTAATTCCTCTATAGGGTATTAATATTACAAGGACTGTTAATATAAGAAAATTAAAATTGGTTTACAATGGTTTATAAATGCATAAATAAAGATTTGAACTTAGCAATTAAATAGTACGTAAAGATAAAAATAAAAACTCTTTTAAATAAAAAAAATGAGGAAAGAAAATCGGAATGTTCAGTTTACAAAAACTACGACTATGGCCTCGAAGAAGAAGGAACTATTCACTTTTTTTACCTAAGATGAAAAGATGTGCAAAAAAATAGATCGAACAAAAAACTGTTTTTTTATATATAATAACAATTTAAAATTTAAACAAGAACGAAATAAAGATTAAAAATCGCTAAAAATTGCAGAGGATGATAATATAATTAATATCATTCAATATGTTTAAAATAAATCTATAAACAAATTACTTCAATAAGCTATATATTCCCAAATCAGCCTGTCATTTGGAGAAACTTATGAATTTTTTTGTTAAATTTTAATAGAAATTGTAAGTCGTTTGAGTTTAAAAATGACTTTATCCCAACTGCTTTATCATGTTTTTTCATCCATGTTATTTAGAAACGCCAAAAACGAAACATTTTTTAATAGTTATTTAGAAACATCAGAAACGTTTTTAAGCATCGAATTCAGGAACGTCAACAAAGTGACGGTTTTCACCAACGGTATTTAGAAACGACAAACATGTGACGTTTTCACCGTCAGTATTTAGAAACGTCGAAAACATGACGTTTACCACCAATTGTTTTCTTTAAACGTCAAAATTCCCTACTATTTTCACTTACAATTCAAATCTTTAAATATTTAAAGATTTTCCTTACCTTTACCTAGCCCAAAATCAAAGATAAATGATATCTTAAATGGTTACAAAATTGAATTTGCTGAATTAAACCTAATGACAAAAAAGCCTAAATCACCCTCTATATTAAAGCACTTTTTCAAGTCATCTTAAATGTTAAAATGTTAATGGATTGTCCTTATTTAATTTTTTTAGGTTACCGATTTTTTTTTGTTTGATAAAATTTTCTTAATACTTTAATCGGAATGTTTTTGATGTATATACGTCTAATAAGCGAAACCTGCATCATTGATGGTAAGGAATATTTTTTGGACAGAATTTACGTATGCCGCCGATCTCAGGTCCATTCCCAAACCGTATTTTTCCGCGGTGTCCTTAATAGCCTGCAATAGAATTTTACATTTTTCAGATTTTTTAAAATAATGTGGCCCAAGTTTTTAGTACTGCTTTTTTGGTAACAAAATTAATAATATTAAACGTATATAGGAGTCCTTAATTCGAACATTTTACGTCAAGATACCATGTAATCAAATCGGAAAGAAAAATAAAATGGGAACACCAAGTATAATGATCAAAGAAAATAGATCAACAGAGAGGCAAAAGAAAAAATTATTAAATGTACATTGACAAAGAAGACCAAAATAAATTGACCTTTTTCTGGCCCCATGGGACAATGAAATGGATTCGTCCCAAAAAGAAGAAATAAGACCAAAAATGGACTCACAACTATTCTAGGAGTCGGAAATCTACTGTGCGAGGTATAATTTGAAAGTAAATTCTAAGGGATAGTTGAATAATTACATCCAGGAAAAAAGTATGAAATATTACATTTCTTGGGAGGATAATGTCTTAAAGGAAGAGTAGCTAACAATAACAGTCACCAGAGAAAAATGGAATATCAACAGGCAATAGATATGAGATATGACCTGCTCAGACTGAAAATGAAAGCAAAAACAAAGGAAAAATTAGTGTGCAATGTAGAAAAACGTAACAAAATAGTTTGGAGAAAGCTCAAACCAATCATTCAGAAGGATTCTAAATATGGACAAAATAGCTTCAATTACTTAAAACATCCATTATGAGTTGAAATACTAAGAGTAAGACAAAGAATATGTCAAAAGTAGCTAAAAAACAAACAGGGAAAGAATATAGGAAAGTTAGGTATCTTACGACCAAAATACTAACAGAATGAAACTCTTATATTAAAGAGTTTGGTGGGGAAGAAAATTAGCAAAGAAGAAGGAATCAAGATCTGTTAAAAAAGAGATAGAAGAAAGCAAATGTGTTAACATAGAAATAATATTGAGTCTATCGGGTATAATAAACAAGCTGAAAGGCAGAGCTAAATTTATAAAAAAATGTATTCGTATTTTTTGAGGAAATTGATAGAAAAAATTGATTATTTTTTATGAAAGGGAAAATATTTAGAAAATAATTTTACAAAATAATATTGTATTGATTTGTAAATGCCTCCAAAAAAATATGTTTAAATTAGTTATACTGCTTGTACTGTGAGTTTTACACAGAATTAAATTACAATGAACGCGCATGTATATTTTTGAAAAATAAGAACGTAAAGGTAATCGTCTCTCAAAAACACTCATTTTTCTAAATCCAACAGACTAAAATAAAATAACTATTAGTAATAAACTAATCTAATCAAACATTTTGTTAATTGTTTAGGCAACAAAAATAAAAAAAAAAGTAATTCAAAAGCATGCAAAACTCACAATATTAGTAGTGATTTGTCAACACAAACAAATACAACACGAAAAACTTAAGCCATTTTCAAAATACACAAAATAAATGCCAGTTTAATAACACAAACACAACCCCTCGAAATGGGACATTTTCGCAGGTTTAAATCATATCAAATAATATAAAATGAAATACAGGGTGATTCAATAAACAAAATACCAAAATAATGTTAAATCAAAGAGAGATCATAAGAGATCTATAATATAACTTGGAAAGTCGATTTTTTGACAAGGACTTTGCTCAAATTTAATCATTATTTTTGGAATACAATAAAATGAATTATATGGAGATACCATAAGAGATCTAGATTGCACATTTTAGCTAAAAAGTCAATTTTTTGACAAGGATTTTGCTCAGATTTAATCATTATTTTTAGAATAGAACATACAGGGTGTTCCATTTGAAATACGTTACATGTGAGGGTCATAAGATATTTGGAATGAACATTATAGTTGGAAAGTCGATTTTTTGACAAGGATTTTGCTTAGATATAATCATTATTTTTGAACCAAATAATATGGGAGGATCATAAGAGATCTTGAATGTACATTTTAGCTGAAAAATAGATTGTTTTGACAAGGAGTTTGCTGATTTAATTATTATTTTGGGAATATGATATACCCATTTAAATTGAATTATATGGGGGAGATCATCTAGAATGAATTTACCTGGAAAGTCGATTATTTGAGAAGGATTTTATGGAATTAATTATTATTTTTGGAATAGAAATACAGTACCCCATTTAAACTAAATTATATGGGGGATCATAAGTGATCTAGAATGCATATTTTAGCTGGAAAGTCGATTTTTTGATAAATGTTTTTCCCAGATTTAATCATTATTTTTTTAATACGTCCCATTTAAAGTGAATAATAAAGCTAAAAATCCAATTTTTGACAAGGAGTTTGCTCAGATTTAATAATTATTCTTGGAATGCGGTCCCATTTAAAGTGAACTACATAGGATTTCGGAAAAGGAAAATAGAAAATTAACTAGTTTGAGAAGGCAACCTAATACATTTTATAAAAATATATAAGAGTGTATGTATTTTTTTATACATACTTTAGGTCAAGTAATGTTTGAAACAGAACAATATTTTTGCATTTAAAAAAATGTAAAACCAAAACTGATGATAATAATTATTCAGATTTTAAATCCTGTAGTGTAGCTAATTTTGCGTGAAACTTCAAACTAGAGAAAAATGCGAAATGTAAATAATATTCTATAATTAATATTGACTAAAGTGGCAGCATCAGAAATAAAATGATTTAGTTGGAACGCATCTCAAAAAAAGATAGTCTAATATTCTAAACCAATAATTATTATGAAATGATAAGTAAATGAAAAAAGCAGCATTAAAAAAATAAGAAATCTGACTTACCTTGGCGGATCTTTCCATCGTGAAACTGAGACCAGAATGTACGATGTCTTTTTCTGAAGCACCAGCGATTTTCTTGGTGAACGATTGTGATGGCAAAATGGGGATAGACCCTACGTCCGTGAACTTTCTTTCCAGAGATTCTTGAACGGATTCTGCACAAAAAATTATATTCATGTATTTTATTTAATTATACAGGTTAACTGAGGATGGATGCCACTGAGGTTCTTCCAAATAACCTATATTTAATGCGTCTTTCGTGCCGTAATATCAAAATATCAGACGTTTTATTAGTTTTGTCTTTATCGACTCATAATTTACCAATCACCCTACATGCCACTTTCAAAAAGTTGTAGTTAAACAACAGCCTTCAATTCTAAGAAAAATTTATAAAGGTGTGCCCCAAGGATCGGTCTTGGGACCCTTGTCGTTTTTAATTTACACTTTCGATATAGAACTAAATGTAGGGTCGAATAGTTTGAATTTTTGCTGATAATACCCAAATTATACATTGCTTTAAGCCGCAAGATGTGCTTAGAGTTAAGAATAGAATGAACTAAGATATTTTCAACATAAATGTGTACCTAATCAATTTTGGAAATATGAAATGAATAATACCTAAATTCCCCCTACGAAATTATGAAAAATATACCACCATATCCCCAAAGTGGAAAAAACCAAAGAAAAAATTGAAAAAGCTGAGAACTAAAGAAAAAAAATGAGTGCATCGACCTAGGATCGAACCTAGAACCTTCGGACTGTAGCTGTTCATGTTCAAATCGGCTGAGCTATTAAAACACAAGCAACTGTTCTCACATGTTTATATAATAAAAATAACAATAATAATAATAGGAGGAGGTGGGTGGCTCAGTGGAAGAGTCTCTGCCTGTGGATCCAAGGGTCCCAGGTTCGAATCCCACAGTTGGCCGAGATTTTTGTAATTAATTTATTTAAAATTAATTCTGATGCCTTGGTAGGATTCCCCACTTGACCATTCACTGTTGGGTTCTAATTTGTTAATTAGAACCCTTGTGCTGTTCCTAAAGTGGTGCTGGGAAACAGTAACAAAGCCTACACAGAACACGAGGCTAATAACCTTAGTAGTTGATGCCGATGACTCCAAAATAAAAAAAATAATACTCTTCCTAATTCACCCCCTTACGAATGAATTTCAACCCCTGAAGTCGACTATTATTATTATTATTATTATTATTATTATTATTATTATTATTATTATTATTATTTGCCGTGGCGCTCCGGGACGACTTAGAGATGATTGATGGTGCCATTTGACTTACAGGTAAAAGTAAAACCCGGAAAACCTCACCCACCATCATCAAGAGGGTTATGCATAGCGTATTTAAACAAACTAATTATAAAAAAAAATATCTATATTTATTTGACCCAAATACATTAAATATTTAATCTTTGTATAATTTGTCAATATTGAACGATTCTTATTATATAATTGTGTAATTTTACCATGCGCCAAATGTGATAAGAAGCTTTTTAAAAATAAATTTAGGAAAACAAAATATTTCTTTTAAAAAGATAAGGTTATCATTTTTGCATAAAAGATAATAATCGTCTGTATATTTAAGTAGATTCTTAAGGTTGATTTTTTTTTAAATGGATTTAAAAACATTATTTAGATAGATAAGTAATGCTTGAGTTTCCAAGAGTTCATTGTATAAATGAGAACATGTTTTGATAAAAAAATTATTTTTGAGGTGTTTTGATAAAAAAATTATAGAAGAAATATGATTTTAACATTTAATAAAAACATTTTACACACAAAAAACAATAAATGTTATACATTGTTACAAACAAATTCTAATCATTTAACAGAAATAAGTTCCCGGTTTACTTTTCTGCTGGCCGAGGAGCAAAAAGTTCAAAACATACACATATAATCATGAGTAGAAGATTCGTAACGCCAACTTTCCCACAGGTGTCCGAATAGTTAAATCACCTGATATCACGCCATGAAGCATTCATTGGTCTAATCCTAAAAAATCGCTTCACCAGAAAGAATCAATGAGATTAAGAAATTTTGTTTAAATTTATTCCTATTATCTTTCAACTAGCTCACTTCGGTATGAGTTTAAAGATTGCCGTAGTGTGCAAAAATATATCCCGAGACAAGGATAATTTTAAAAATGTCTGCTTTTGGCATTTTTATTAAATTTTATGATGCTGTCTAATTTTATGTTAATTTTTTTCAAACTATGGGACAAACGTTGTCCCGCTTTATTATACTCGCGAAACACGGGACAAATCATTCAAAATGCGGAACAGTTGGCAACTCTACTTCAAAAATGAATCAACATCGACAAACTGGAACGAAAATTAGTTAAATACTTACGTAAAAGATGGTAGTTGGAGTCCTTTTCGTATTTGAAAGTCAATCTACCGTAGGAGACGTGATTGATGTTTTTCAACCATTCGAAGAACGAAACTGTCACACCACCGGCGTTGACGTACAAATCTGGGATGACTAATACGTTCTTCTTGAGCAGGATTTGGTCTGCGGCTGGGGTTAGGGGTCCGTTGGCAGCTTCGGCGATTATCTGCAAGTATATACGTTTATATACAATGAGCTTGGAAACGACATTTGGATTATTTTTGTATAAAAAGGGACAGTTTCCAACTTAAATTTAGCAATTTAGTTAGTTTCTCTAGCATTTATAGTTACTTCACAATTAATTATCAAATTACGAATAAATAGGCCACGCCCCTCGTTTTTCCTGTAGCGGCGAGGCCGGTACGCTACGCGATCGGCGCCGACTGGCTGCTAGAGAGTTAGGTTTATGTAGTAAATATTATTACGCCTCTGCTGTTGTTTGTGTTTTACGAAATGTCTGCTCAAAATATCCGGTATAAGGGTCCTTTTCAATAACTTTTTAATTTGGGTGATCTTAACGATTACACCTACATCTCTCAAGATATTTAGCAAAATTTTTGCAAAGATTTATAGTTTGGTACCTAGCCGACTATGACAAAAACAAAAATTCACAAATAGTTCATGTCTTATACATTTTTTTGTTTTTTAAACATGCAATTTCATACCTCCGTCACGCGTCACGATTGCTATTTCCTATGTTTGTACCTTTGTCATTTAATATACATGCAATATATAATGTATGTCGCTATTTTTCATAATCTGCTATATTACAACTGTCAATATAATGATAAAATGCAACAAAAAATCGACTATACATGTTACTAAATCTTGAATATTGGTTGTCATGCTGCGTGTACCCGATCTCCCTCACTCCAATTTTAAGTTAAAAAACTGACCATCAGGTGGCGGTATCTGCGAATAAAATAAGTCTGATTTTGTTGCTGGGTCTCAGTGCATTCATGTCAAGCAGTAATTGTGGAGGCAGTAGTATTTTATTGTACGATTCTTCAATAGAACAGGTAAAATTTTGGGACGGAAATATTAATTAATTTAAACAGTTTCATTTCAAAAAATTAGAATGATACTGTTATATTTATCGTTTATCTGCTCAAAATGAATTTCAAACAGTGATCGATAGTAAAAAAGATTTTCTTTCAGTTAATACGGAGGAAAACTCTTCGGTGTGCATTTCCCTGAAAATTAGTTCAGATGATGTAACGCTAACAATTAGCACAAAGAAAGATAATGAAAGCGAAGAAAAAATAGCTTCATTAAATGTTAAAAGACATAAAGGAGAGTGCATTAGAAAAACAAGTAAAAGATAAAAAGTTGAACAAAAATACTGTAATGTGAACCATTTAATTATTGAGTCATGCTCTAATCTTCCAAGTCCCTCTCTGTCTTAGAGGCCTTAGAGGCCCAACTTGTTCGATTATCATACATAATTAAACCCCTTAAGACCAAACATATGTGACGAGTATGGCGGAAGCGCTTTTCGAGTATATTCCAGAATCAACGTGATACTATTTCTAGTATTGGTGAGAATTGGTGAAAATTCTAGTACCTTCACCAATATTTTAAATGCGTATATTGTAATGATTATTTACTATCACTACTTAACCTTAGCATTATGCTTATCAGCTAGCCTTTGGTATCCGTCTCATAAATCACTATTCATTTGAGCAGGAGCTTTTCTTCCTCTCGGGGGTGGTTCAGGTAAATATTACAATACCAATATTAATATATGCTATTTATTTATTTTTTTTATTTGAATTTTATTTAAATTTTATTTACATTTTATTTAAATTTTATTTAAATTTTATTTAAATTTTATTTAAATTTTATTTAAATTTCATTTAAATTTTATTTAAATTTTATTTAAATTTTATTTAAATTTTATTTAAATTTTATTTAAATTTTATTTATATTTTATTTAAATTTTATTTAAATTTTATTTATATTTTATTTATATTTTATTTAAATTTTATTTAAATTTTATTTAAATTTTATTTAAATTTTATTTAAATTTTATTTAAATTTTATTTAAATTTTATTTAAATTTTATTTAAATTTTATTTAAATTTTATTTAAATTTTATTTAAATTTTATTTAAATTTTATTTAAATTTTATTTAAATTTTATTTAAATTTTATTTAAATTTTATTTAAATTTTATTTAAATTTTATTTAAATTTTATTTAAATTTTATTTAAATTTTATTTAAATTTTATTTAAATTTTATTTAAATTTTATTTAAATTTTATTTAAATTTTATTTAAATTTTATTTAAATTTTATTTAAATTTTATTTAAATTTTATTTAAATTTTATTTAAATTTTATTTAAATTTTATTTAAATTTTATTTAAATTTTATATAAATTTTATTTAAATTTTATTTAAATTTTATTTAAATTTTATTTAAATTTTATTTAAATTTTATTTAAATTTTATTTAAATTTTATTTAAATTTTATTCAAATTTTATTTAAATTTTATTTAAATTTTATTTAAATTTTATTTAAATTTTATTTAAATTTTATTTAAATTTTATTTAAATTTTATTTAAATTTTATTTAAATTTTATTTAAATTTTATTTAAATTTTATTTAAATTTTATTTAAATTTTATTTAAATTTTATTTAAATTTTATTTAAATTTTATTTAAATTTTATCTAAATTTTATTTAAATTTTATTTAAATTTTATTTAAATTTTATTTAAATTTTATTTAAATTTTATTTAAATTTTATTTAAATTTTATTTAAATTTTATTTAAATTTTATTTAAATTTTATTTAAATTTTATTTAAATTTTATTTAAATTTTATTTAAATTTTATTTAAATTTTATTTAAATTTTATTTAAATTTTATTTAAATTTTATTTAAATTTTATTTAAATTTTATTTAAATTTTATTTAAATTTTATTTAAATTTTATTTAAATTTTATTTAAATTTTATTTAAATTTTATTTAAATTTTATTTAAATTTTATTTAAATTTTATTTAAATTTTATTTAAATTTTATTTAAATTTTATTTAAATTTTATTTAAATTTTATTTAAATTTTATTTAAATTTTATTTAAATTTTATTTAAATTTTATTTAAATTTTATTTAAATTTTATTTAAATTTTATTTAAATTTTATTTAAATTTTATTTAAATTTTATTTAAATTTTATTTAAATATAATTTAAATTTTATTTAAATTTTATTTAAATTTTATTTAAATTTTATTTAAATTTTATTTAAATTTTATTTAAATTTTATTTAAATTTTATTTAAATTTTATTTAAATTTGAAATATTAGTGGAGGAACACGGAGTCAGTATATGAGCCTATGTGAAGATAAATAGTGAACAATTTAGTGACTTCGAAATATATATAAATTAGAATAGTGTTATAAAATAAATAAGTGTTTAAATAAATTATTTACAAATAAACTGTTGTTTAAAATAAACAAACATCACAATACCTTCAAAATTAAGTTAGGTACGTGACATCACTAACAAAGCAATATCCAAGTTAAAATCAGATAACTTAGCGAAAGCCAAATTTTGAAGAAATATTGCCATCGACATCTAAAACCACAGAATCTAATTTTAAAATTATTAATTTCTATACTTTTCATATTTCCGACACATTATCATATTTCCGTCCCCTCATGTTTTAGTGAAATTGTAATTCTACTAAGGCACTTGGAGTTAAAATTTTTCAATTTAACGTACTATTTTAGAGTTTTTTAACTGATTTATGCAATTTCTTTAGATTTTTTTTACAAAAAAAAGAAAAATTCCATCTTTTTTATCTTTTTTTTAATAAATTTGCAAATTTTTTCTCACTACATTTACTTAGATTGTAGTAGCACATTTTGTTGATGTATTTTTAAAAGATGATGGTACTTTAGAAAAACATTACAACAATAATAATTTAAACGTTATCTAATTTTTTTTGTAGTTTTGTATGTGTGACGGAAATCTTATAAAATATAAGACATACATAGACAAATTTCTACAGAAAAAAAAGTATATGAATATTTTCAATAACCACTTCTCAAACCAAGTATTTCAAGCGTGTAACAATATAAAAAGGATGATATTAAACTGATAACTTAAGGTGAGATTTTCAAAATCACTTATAGTGCAAATTAAAAGGTTATTAAAAAGGACCCATAAATATTCTATTGTGCCGAAATATCAAATACGATAATAACTACACCAAAAGGAGAAGCAATAAGGAAACAGTGGTGTAATGCAATGAAGAGAGACAATAAAATTAATAAAGTTCTTTTGAGTACACGTAATCGGTTTTGTTGTGAAGATCATTGTGAGGTAAGTTAATTTTAAATTAAGTTACCTATTACTATAGTAGTATTTTTAGTCGGAACTATTTGACAACAACGTTAACACTCCAATTTAAAGGGACGAGGTCATGGATGGTGATATTATGAATGTAGTTTCTCATCTTGGTAATATTTGCCCATGTTTTAATTAGTTAAGAACATAACAGATAACAACTTAAGATTAGATTTACACGATTAAAGATTTTCGGATTAAAATATTTGTTTTACTCACCCTTGCTTTCACTTTGTCTGCATTATCTTTCGTAATGACCTTTTCTGTAGCGGCTGGAACTAAGATATCACATTGGTGGTATAGAAGATCGCCTTCGTAGGCTTGGGCACCAGCGAAGCCGTTGATGGTACCAGCGGTGACACGGTGATCTTCAAGTTCCTATAAAAATAATAAATCTCCCATTATTGATGTTAAATTAGTATTATGTTATCTTTTACTATCGATTTTTACTAACCTTGGGATCCATACCATTCTCATTGAAGATGGAACCATCGAACTCGATGACACCAATAATTTTAGCACCGGCCCTGTGAAGGTACCTCATGGTGTGCAGACCGACATTACCGAAACCTTGGATGATTACTGTTTTGCCTCTTAAACCGGTGGTCAAACCGCACATCTTCATATAGCTCTCCTCGTTGATGAAGTTTTCGATACCTAGCTTATAAATACATACTTCAAAAAAAATCTAATTTAAATTTTTGCGACATACCGTGGAAAACACCACGACCTGTTGCAGATACACGTCCGTGAATACCACCTTGGTTAATTGGTTTTCCGGTGGTACACGCGTGGTTGTTGATGTCTTGGTAACCGATAGTTTTGGCGTAGGTGTCTGCTAACCAGGACATTTCCCTTTCACCGGTACCCATGTCTGGGGCAGGTACGTCGATACTGGGTCCTAAATAGAGGGAAAATGTGTAAATAAATGCAATAATTAATATTATTTGTTGATTGGAAATTATGACGATAAAGCGAATCTATTTGTGAGCTTTCTCTGCTCCGTCTTTCAACCTAATGCAAGAGAAGTTAATACCGAAGAAGAAAAACTAATTCAAGATATCCTAGATGCGCCTTATTGGACTGGTCTTCGAATCAAAAAAAAAAAAAAATGACTAGCAAAAGTCTAACAAACCATACAAAATGCTAACATTAAGAAACTATTTAATGGCTGGCATGAAAACTGCAAACCTCGAAAATATCATCAAACTTCTGCTCGGTCATTACAGACGTTGGCGACTGGGCAGAGGAATAATACAACCCATTCTACGATTGGCGCCAAACACATTGTAGAGGATGACAAAATTGGATGGGCAATATCTAGCTTCTCTCCATTTAAATCGCCAGGACCTGACGATATCTATAAAGCCCTACTTCAGTGGTAAAAGTAGTCTTTATACCCATACCTGGAAAGATGGATAATATTGTCCCAAAAACATACCGACCAATTGGCCTGTCATTGTTTTCCATGAAGACATTGGAAAGGCTATGGCGAAAGGTACATAAGTGATGTCCAAATCAACATGCATACACCCCAGACAGATCTACTGATTCAGCCATTCACCTAGTTGCTGGCCGGATAGAGATCCCTGAACAATAAAGAGTCCGTCTTGGGTATTTTCATATACATAGAAGGTGCTTTTGATACAACGACCTTTCCCAAGTTAATACACTCACTAAACAACAGGAATGTTCCACAGATGGTTAGAGGGTGGATACATAACATCCTCTCGAAGCGAGCACTAAACATAAGTGTAGATGTAAATATACTAAGTGACATAGAAAACAGAACACCCAGTATTAATGAATTTATTACAAATAATTTCTAGGAATATGTTTGTTTAAGTTAGAATAAAAAACAATCAGTTTTTCAGCCATATCGATAGAGTGGTTTTTGTGTTATCGTCCTGTTCTCACAAAAAGTAAGACGCGATAATTGTGTTTTGTAGCTACAATTCGCATTTGAACGTCGTACAATACTTTGTGAAGAGCTTTTTTGATTTGTTTATCATGCCTAGAGTTAGAAGACGAGAAAATTTTCTACAGCTTAGCGAGTTTGATAGGGGGCGAATAGTGGGCTTACGCGAGGCTGGTTTGTCCTTCAGAGAAATAGCCACGAGGATGCACAGAAGTGTAAATACGGTGGTGGTTTGTTGTCGGGTATGGAATCAAGAAGGCCGTACACGAAAAGCTAGAGGTACAGGACGTGTCAGAAGAACGGCCCCACTCCAAGATCGCCGCCTTAGGCTTTTGGCTCTACGGGACCGCTTCACGTCCACAAGGTCAATTGCTGACCAATGGTTTGCAGGACATGGCAGGCCAATAACAATGCGAACTGTTTATCGCCGTATCAGAAGTTTGTCCTACCTCTCACTCCTAGGCACCGAAGTGATCGACTGGCTTGGTGCAGAGAACGGCTGAACTGGGACCATGAATGGAATACCATTGTCTTTAGTGATGAATCCAGATTCTGTTTGGGCATGCATGATGGACGTGCAAGGGTGAGAAGGCGGCGTGGTGAAAGACGAGATCCTCAATTTTTCGTGGAAAGGCATGTGCACCACACTGTCGGTATTATGGTATGGGGGGCCATTACTTATGGAAGTAGGTCACCTTTGGTATTCATCAGAGGCAACATGACCGCCGTGCGTTACATCCAGGAGGTGGTGGAACCACATGTTCTGCCTTATATTCGGACGCTCCCCAACCCACTTTTCCAACAAGATAATGCACGACCACATGTAGACAGAATTACGTAGGCCCATTTTGAAGAAAATCAAGTCGATTTGTTGCCTTGGCCCCCTAGATCTCCCGATCTTTCACACATAGAACACGTCTGGGACATTATGGGAAAAAGATTACTCCATTTACCCCATCCTCCTCAGACTCTAGCGGCACTTCAGCATGAGGTACAAGTTGCCTGGGATGAGATACCTCAAGAGGAAATCGACCATCTTATTAGGAGTATGCCCCGACGTGTTTCTGAGTGCATAAGACATCGTGGAGGACCAACACACTATTAATTTTTTACTTTTTTCCAACGGTTGGATTTTTCTTACATTTTGATCAATTACTTAACTAACCCAAAGACACATGTATACTAAAAATTATTGTAATAAATTCATTAATACTGGGTGTTCTGTTTTCTATGTCACTTAGTATATTTATTTTATTTATTAACATTTTTTTTTAATATACATTTATATACAATTACTTTACAATTAGTTAGCGTCTCATAAAATGGCTACCACTCTAGGCATGGTTGCCTGTCCTGTGTGAAGCAATTTTATGAGGCACACTGTTTACAGTATTTAAGGGTATGTAGTGTTTTACATCTATTTTTCATGTATAAAGACATTTTGAATTGTGATTTTTTCAGAGAGGTAATGATGGCAGCTTCGGTGGGGGGGTGAGAATCAGTTATTAATTTAGGGTTACATTATCTTAAATACATTTTAACAGCTGTTATTATCATGAGAACATCAGAAATATATAAGGATGATTGAGTATATACTTTTTTACTTCTATTTTGTATGTTTTATATATTTTTATTTCTTTTATATTTTATATTTCTTTATTTACATTAAATAATTTCGGCCCAAAGAAAAGGAGTTCTGAGTAACAGTTTTTTTAAATAAATCTGTTGTTACATTTAGATTCAGTTTAGAACGTGTTTCATTTATGTTTTGTTGAGGGCATTTAATTTGTTGGTCAAACATTCTTAGGAGACATTGGTAAATATAACTTGACCTAATATTTAAAAGATTAGTTTCTTGATATAAGTTTTGTGTGGAATAAAGCCTCTCTTTTTTAAAAATTATTTTTAGTATTATATTTTGTGATATTTGCAGTGGATTGAGTGTTGTTTTGAATGTTGCGCCCCAGGCAGTAATGCAATACCTAATAATTGATTCAACCAGAGAGTTGTACACTATAATTATTTTTTTTTTAGTTAATATATCACGTATTTCATAGAATTTGTGCATCAAAATTCGGATTCTTTTCGTTACATATCCAATATGCTCAGACCATCTTAAATTTTGATCTATTATGACTCCAAGGTATTTTAGTGAATTTGTTTTTTGTATAGATTGACAGTTACAATCTTTTTCTTTATTACACTGTGATTTGTGGAATTTAATAATTAAGTTGTTTGGTTGATCTACTACTGTTGGGGAAAACGTAATATATTTAGTTTTATTAACATTAAGTGATAGCTTATTATTATTTAGCCAGTTATGGATTTTATTCAAGTTAGTTTCCACTATTTTTTGGGCTTTTTCCCATGTTGTTTCAGTAAATATTAGTGCTGTATCATCGGCGTAACAAACTATATGACCTTTAAAATTGTTAATTTTGGTTATATTATTTATATATACAAGAAATAGTATTGGTCCTAATATGGTCCCCTGCGGTACTCCAGTTAGAACATTACAATCGGAACTTATTACATTGCCAATTTTAACTCTTTGTATTCTATCAGTCAAGTAGTTTTATAAGAGTCTTGATTGCGAGGAGATGTCCACAGGGAGGGGCGCAATCACCTCTATTGTGGAACATGGTCCTCGACACCCTTATCAGCCGCCTCAATAATGATATTCACTACACAATAGCGTATGAAGACCTGGTCATTCTGCAAACGGAATTTTAAAAAAGAAAGAATACAAGTAGCTCTCAAATTTATAGAACAAGGACCATTCTTTGTCTATCAATCCCAAGAAGCCAGAAATGGTCCTTTTCATAAGGAAAATTATGAAAATGGAATTAAAACCTCCAGAACTCCTAAACACAAAACTAAACTTTGCAACAGAAATGTTGTATCTAGGTCTCACCTTTGACAGAAAGTTAATATAAAACTCATACTTAGAAAATAGAGTAAAAAAAGAATATATTGTTTAATAACAATGCCGTCGAACCGTGTGGCGAATCTATATTAAGCCCTAAGAAACATTTTTTGAAGAAACCAATTGAGTATTTCGTAGCTTGGAAAGAAGATGGAAGGTTTGTAACTTCAGTCTTATTTTTCACGATTTTTCTTTCAGGAAGGATTTTTCAATTTTTTTTTGTAATTATTAAATTAACAATATAATTCAATTTATTAGTTAATATTAATAATATGATTAATTTTACCATTATACTCTACTTGACAAATAACAACTAGCAACAAAAGTAGAGTGCTTTTTGCATAAACGAAATGATGAAATATTGAAGATAAAACACCTTTTTATTCAGTATCAGTATTGCTATTTAAGAAACATTTACAGCATTATTATATCGCTGATAGAAACACATTTTTATCTCATGCATGTTTATGAATTACCATCATAACACATATAAGTGGGAATAAGTTTTACTGCACTAAATAAGAAGTTAAGTATTCAATATGAGTACTCACTTTAGATTAGGCATCAAAATTGAAAAATAATGTTTGAAATGTTTTAATTGTACAATTAATCTTAGGTTATCTATATTTTATTTATTTATCTGTGGTTATCTATGTTTATTTTATAGGGGTAACCCCATTACAAATACAAATGCATATAAAATAATATAAAACACAGACATAATTTAAAAGAAAAAAAATATATAATGTATACGTTAAATAATATGAAGAGCAATTCTGTAAATTTATGTTAAATTTTATGTTGAGAGTTTTAATTTTATTTCCAAATTAATTTCAAAAATTGGTAAAAGCTAAAACGCTAAGATTTGGTAGGCATTTTTTAATAAAATCAGATGCTAGTATCAATAATGCAACTTTAAGAACAATAAAGTTTCAGTTACTTTAAACCGCACAAATATATTCTATATGCAGGAAATATGTTAAAAATTTAACATACAATGTTAATTTTAGGCGAAAAAAAATTAGGTACCTAATTTGAACAATTGAAATTGCACAAA